ATCTCAACAAGGCGTGCCCTATGGACCCTTTCCCTCTGCCGAACATCGATCAACTCGTGGATGAGACCGCGGGTGCGAAATCATGTCGTTCCTCGACGCATTCCGTGGATATCACCAGATTTTTATGCATGAGGAAGACGCAAAAAAAACAGCCTTCATGACTCCCGAGGGCATATTCTGCTATCTTGTCATGGCCTTCGGCCTGAAGAACTCAGGCGCCACTTACACCCGGATGGTGGCCAGAGTCTTTCAGACCGTCCTAAGGCGCACCATGGAGGCCTATGTTGACGTCATGATCGTCAAAGCAAACAATCATCAAGCCATGCTGACGACCTCCGGGAGATCTTCGCCATCATGCAAAAGTTCAACCTTCGGCTAAACCCGAAGAAATGCACCTTCGGCGTGCAAGGAGGCAGATTCTTAGGCTACATGGTGAGCCGAAGGGGTATCGAGGCCAACCCCGAGAAAATCCAGGCCATCGTCAACATGGAGCCCCCACGCAACGTGAAGGAGGTCCAAAAGTTGACGGGGCCGCCTGGCAGCCCTCAACCGCTTCCTATCCAAATCGGCAGAGAAGTCTTTACCCTTCTTCTAGATCATGAGGAAGACCGCCGGTTTCCAATGGATTTCAGAATGCTAGGAGGCCTTCGACGAACTAAAAAGGTATTTATCTTCACCCCCTGTGCTCTCCAAACCTAAGGTAGGGGAAACTCTGTACCTTTACCTTGGCGTCAGCCCGGCTGCCATCAGCTCAGTGCTCATCCGGGAGGAATATGGCGTCCAACATGCCATCTTCTATGTTAGCAAGACCCTCAGGGAGGCTGAACTCAGGTACTCTCCTGTGGAAAAACGGTGCTGGCCATTGTCTGGACCGTCAAAAAGCTTGGTCACTACTTTCAGGCTCATCCGGTCCAAGTGCTCACACATCAACCCCTCGGTGCCCTCATGAGGAGCCCCATCAGCTCCTCCAGAATGGTAAAATGGGCCATCTTCCTCAGCCAATATAACATTGACATCCGTCCGAGGCCTGCCATAAAGGGCCAAGCCCTGACGGACTTCGTAACGGAGTGCACGACCAGATCAGCAGTAGATGAGGAGCCCTCGGCACCTTCGGACGAGTGGTGGACCCTCTATACCGATGGCTCCTCAGCCACCAAAGCATGCGGGGGAGGAGTAGTTCTCATTACTCTCGAAGGCTTCCGGGCCTACTATGCCATCCACTTCTCCTTCAAAGTCTCCAATAACAAAGCGGAATATGAAGCCTTCCTTGTGGCCTTCAGCTGGCAACGAATATGAAGGCCAGAATGATCCACGTCAAGTATGACTCCAAGCTTGTCGTGCGCCAAATCTCTGGGGAGTATGAGGCCAAGGAAGGGAGGATGAAACAATACAGGGAGGCGGCTAAAGAATTGCTCAAGGTATTTGAGGCACATTCTCTCACCCAAATACCGAGGGCTCAAAATTCTGAGGCCGATATTTTATCAAAACTCTCGAATGAATCCCCCGAGCACCTCTCTAAAATTGCAAGGATAGAAGAACTCAGCCTCTCAAGCATACATGCCAGCCCCATCATGCAAATTCAACAAAGGCAAGAGGACTGGATCTCAGACAACATCGCCTTCATCACCACAGGGCAACTACCCGAGGATGAAGCCCGCGCTAAACTAGCAAAGCTGAGGGCTCCCAGCTACACCGTCGAAGACGGAAGGCTCTACAAACGATCTTACAATGACACACTACTCCGATGCCTTCATCAAGACGAAGCTGAAGTCGCCATGGAGGAAGTGCACAGTGGCACTTGCTCAGCTCACCAGGGAGCCTTCTCCATGTCCCGAAGGCTCATAGTCCAAGGCTACTTCTGGCCTACAATGGCCCGAGATTGTGCGGATCTCGCCCGAAGGTGTACCGCCTGTCAACACTTTCAGAAGGCCCCCGGCAGGCCGGCGGTCAACTATGCCCCCATCAGCACATCTATACCCTTCACTAGATGGGGCATAGACCTTGTGGGCCCTCTGCCGAGGGGTACCTCCAACAATAGGTACATCATCGTTGTCATTGACTACTTCACCAAGTGGGTGGAGGCTGAGCCTCTCGCCAGCATTACTGAGGCCAGGTGCTGCCACTTTGTCCTAAAGAACATTCTCACAAGGTTTGGCGTCCCCCAACAAATCATCTCCGACAACGGGACCCAATTTGAGGCAGCCCCCTTATGTGCCCTCCTAGAGGCATGGGGCATCAAACACACCTTATCATCCATTGCTTACCCTCAAGGCAACGGTCAAGTGGAGAACGCCAACCGGACATTATTGGAGGGCCTAGAAAAGAAGCTGGAGGCCGAAGGGGGAGGCTGGGTAGAAGAACTCCACAACATCCTCTGGGCCTACCGCACCACCCTTCGGCGGGCAACAGGTGAAACACCCTTCTCCCTGTGTTATGGATTTGAGGCTAAAGCTCCCACTGAAGTGACCCTTCCTACCCGAAGGGTGGCCCAATATGACCCAGAAGTTAACGACGCCAACATGGCCCTCGACCTTCACCTCATTTCAGAACGCCGAGAACAAGCCTTCATACGAGCGGAAAACTACCGAAGGCAAGTCAAAAGCTACATCGACGCCAAGGTCCGCTCTCGAGAATTCCAAGTGGGGAATTATGTCCTCCGACGGAGGGAAGATAGCCAACCAACTGAGGGCGGCAAGATGGAACCTAAGTTTGAGGGCCCCTACATCGTAGCAGCCATCATCAAACCTGGGACTTACAAACTCAAACACCCCAATGGGACAGAGGTCCCTAGACATTGGAATGTACATCACCTAGTTAAATTTTATCAATAATATTAGAGCGGCCAAGCCCTCATAACTAATAAATGTATTATCCTACGGTCCAAGGCCTTCAAATTTGAAGACATATTGAAGACACAAGAACAAGAAACAAGACACATGTGAGCGGCCAAGCCCTCATGCAAACTACTGGCCCAAGGCCTTGTCACAAGCAAAACCTTTCGGCACCAAGTGCCGAGGGTAGACACTCCAATCACCTACAGAAAATGAAGGAAACACCAAGTGTTTTTAAGAAGACCCCTCGATACCAAGTACCGGGGACCGTACTCTTATCAACTCCAGGCAGAGGAAAACACCAAGTGTTTCCTTTGAAGACCCCTCGGTACCAAGTACCGGGGGCCATATGCCGAAACAAACACCAAGTGTTGTTTCTGAAGCCGTACCCCTCGAGGACGCATTTATACCGAAGGCGCCACCTATCGGTGCCGGCGGCACGTAGTGCCCCCGGCCATTTGCAACCCATGTGCAAATGAAAACCCTTCCTTGAAATGCTTTCCGCATCATTACCCCAAGGGAATGACAGGCAACTAATATGTCCAGGATTCGACTTTCAAACACGGAACGCTTTCTGCGCCATTGCCCCAAGGGAGTGGCAGGCATCTAATATGCCCAGGATTCGACTTCCAAAACGAAACGCTCCCCGCGCCATTACCCCAAGGGTATGGTAGGCCACAGACTATGTCTCACGCCGAGAGGTCGACTCTCAAAACTGAGGCGCTTTCTGTGCCGTCCCCCAAGGGGAGGCAGGCTACAGACTATGTCTTATGCCAAGGAAACGACCCTCGATCCCCTCGGAACTCGGAAGGTTAACCCGAGGGGGGAGCTAATGGTGTTTGCTGTTGCCTCCCGATAGGCCAAGCCTTACCAAGAAACCAAGTTTCTTGAAGCCTTCCCTTCACTACCAAAAAAAAGGGGGGTGAAGGGGAGTAGACTCAACGAGCAATCAATGAGTACACAACTCCAAAAATCCACGACGGAACACCCTTCGGCAAACAGGAAGAAGGGTTGTTACAAAACAGAAAGGTCATACTGAGGGCTCCCCATGGGAACACCTCCGACACCCAGGAGATACTAATTCCAGAAGGCTTTTATTCAACAAATGCTACCGAAAATTGGTTGTCCACTCAACAACGGCTCAAGGGATACCAAAGGCATCCACTTTCCGTCCGCCCTTACTACAGCATGAATGTCTTACAAAATTTTCCTAAGTCCACACTTTGGAGCCCACTATGGCCGAGGGCGCCTGCTACACAATACCGAAGGCAAGTACCCACAGACATGATCTTGAATTTCCTAAGTCCAAGTCCCAGCAACCCCCGGCGCTACAATCAACACTGGAGGCTAGTACTCACAGGGCTCATTTACCGAAGGCCAAGTGACAAGTGACACTTGGGAAAAAATTTCTAAGTCCTAAATATTTGGCCCTCGGTCAAATCTCCATGCAGCCAGAGGGGTCACACAACCGAAGGCTCAGTGGTGAAACTACAATTGGAAAATTTTTCTAAGTCCTAAATATTTGGCCCTCGGTCAAATCTCCATGCAGCCAGAGGGGTCACACAACCAAAGGCTCAGTGGTGATACTACAATTGGGAAAAAAAATTAAGTCCTAAATATTTGGCCCTCAGTCAAATCTCCATGCAGCCAGAGGGGTCACACAACCGAAGGCTCAGTGGTAAAACCATGTTCAAGGATTTTCTAAGTCCTGAACAACAAGCCCCCGACCATCAGTGGGGTAGGGCTCACAACTTACATAACAAAAGGCATACAAAAGAGAATGACAACCGAAGGCAAAAGCTGTGAATAGACACTTAGAATTTTTTTTCTAAGTTCTAAACGACTGACAACTTAAACATCAAAGTACGAGGACATTCATTCACAAAGAAAAAACAAAGGCATTTATCAAAACAAAAGCAATGCCATACATCGCCAAGCCCGAAGGCACCCATGCATTCATTCACAAGAAAGGAAAGAGTAATGTGTTTGGATTACAAAAGATGGCCGAGGCTGAAAGATACAGAAATATTCATTACAAAAAATTGTTCAGAATATACAACAACAAGATTATCATCCAACTACGGTAGCACCCCCCTCAACAGGCTTTGACGTGGCGTCATCCCCGGCCTCTTCCTCTTCATCGCTGCACTCCGCCATCAAGACGGTGTCCTCAAAATCTGGCCTCATAGCGCCCTCGGGAAGGGGAATTCTGGTGTCTGGCTGGAGAGGAGGAAGCCCATAAGCCACCGGATCAAACGCCGACGGGTCTGTTCCCAGTTGCCTGGCTAGCCTCCGATAGATGAGGGCCTGAGTAAAGTACTCGCCCCCATCGTAGTACTCTTTCCCCTTCTGTGCCAGCCACATCGCCCCGGGGCCTCTTACCCACTCGTCTACCGAGGCCTCAACTACCGAAGCCACCCATGCTTTCTGGGTCTCGACTTTCCAGTCCTCGGCGACGAAGGCGGTCACCGCTTCCTTCATCGCCTCCCTCTTGGCGACCTCAGCGTCTTCATCGGTCTTCTTAGCGGCCTCAGCAGCTGCCTTCTCAGCCTCAGCTCTCCCCTCGGCCTTTGCCACTGTCTTGGCATTATCAAGAATTTTTTTCGAGGGCCGCCCTCTCGACTTTGAAAGCTTCCTCGGCCTCCCGAAGCCTCTTTTGGGCCACAGCCAAGGCTTCATCATCCTTCTACTTCTGAAGGGCATAACGCTCCATCCTCTAGGTAAGTTCACCAAGGCCAAGGCTTGCCTGCAAGGGGGATCGGGAAACATCGAAGGTTAAAATCACTATGCACAAATATGTTGAGTCTGAGTTGACTAAAGAGAAGAAGAGAGAAGGGAACTTACAGTGACCGAGGCCTGAAGGACCTTGGAGCAGAGGGCATCGTCAGCCTGCCGGGAGAGCACAGACTTATCAGTCGGAGGGGTGGCGCCCCTCAAGAACTCCTTTGGGTTCAAAGTCGCGTGCATGATGGCAGTCCCCTTGGTGATGGAGAACTACACATTATCTTGGGGCCACGACATGCCAGCAACCAGAGCCGAGGGCTCGGAGGGTTGTTCATCAACAATGACAACGGGGGCCTCTTTCATCCCGACGACCTCCTTCTTTTGCTTCTTCTCCTCCGGGGGCACCACGCCCTTCCCGACTCTTTTCCTCTTAAGCTGCCCAATGGGAGAGCCTTCAGCATCAGAACCGACATCGTCGCCGGCAACAGCCTTCACCTCAGGCACTGCCTCCTTGGCCCCATCGGCAGTTCCCACCTTCGGGAAGATGTCATCCACCGCCCTCTGCTGCACTGGGGCATCCTTCTTCTTGTTCTCCTTCGCAAATTGCTTCTTCAGTTTAGAGCGGTTCCTAGCATCCATATCTGGTCCTGAAAAACAAGGAAGGCACACATGGGTTAGAATACTACTACAACAAAGCAATTTTTTGGTAAGTACACAAGCTAAGGCCCTCGGTAGTGCTACCACCTTCAGCGCTCTCATATACACGATCGATCTCGGGATAATTTTCGGCCTCCTCCCCCATGAGCCGATACCGACGGAAGCCGAGCTTGTACAACTCGTCCGGAAAGGTGGCATCCTTGATCTTGGTATGCTTCTCAGACCCCTCAGGCTTCTTGGAGAGTTTCCTCCCCTTCTTCTCCAAGGCGGCGCTCCCTACCTTTACATGCCTTCGGAAGCTATCACGGAGTGGGGCTGGGAAGGGATTCTCCACCATTCCGACATAGCATAACTTGTCTTTCCATCCCTTGTAAGACGAGGGGACATCGTCAAAAAGCCTGAATTCAGGGAGCTGCTGCAGGTTGGCGAAGCCCCCGGCATTTGAGTGACCTCCCCGGCAGAGGTTGAAGGAGATGAAGAATTGATCTAGAGTGGGCTCCACATCCCTGCTCCGGCAAAGGGAAAGGAAGCCAGCCAAGTAGGAATGGTTGTTCAGGGTCAGTTGGCAGGGGGCGAGTTTGACGAACCGAAGGTACTCGATCACGAAGGGGTGGAGGGGGAATCGGAGGCCCAACTCCACCGAGAGTATGTGCACGGCAAAACAGCCGGTGGGGGCATATAACAGAACGTCATCTGGCCCCGGCTCCACCACCTGTGCCGAGGGCCCAACCAAGAGCTGTGTCACCATGTATTCTCCCTGTGTGGCTCTAGTCTTCACATCCAAGGCGGCGGTGTTCAGGTAGGAGTAGCCTTCGGGAATCCCTACTGGTTGACCCGCGTCAACGGCAGCCTGTTTCTTCCTCGGTGCCGCCCTCGTCTTCTTCTTTTTACCCGGCGCCACACTGATAGGCGTCGGGTCCAGGGGCCTTGAGCTCCCGACTTCAGCATCATTGCGAGGGGGTGGGACAACGATGGTGACCTTCATCATCTCCTTCTGCGCCTCATCCTCAGCCATTTGAAAGGCGAGGGCTAACTTCTCGTCTTCACATTCTTGTTCAAAGTCTTCGGCTTCCATTTCAAGCTGAAGGCTCTTCTGTACTTCCTCAGCTACCACAAGGTCATCATTGGCCAAGAGATGCGCGGTCGAGGATTCCACCTCGGATATGGTCTCTTCGGCTACCGGAGGCTCCCTCGAGAGGTCTTCAGAATCACTTTGCAAGGACAGTACTAATCGCTAAAAACCGAAGGGTTCGAGATAAAAGGTCCCCTAAGGATCTAAGGACACAAAACAAGGCGACTATTGAAGCGAAGATTAGGTGGGGGACTGACCTCTGAAAGCTCGATTTGATCGAAGGCAGGAGTTTCTCTCTCTAGAAAATCCGGCAGAGCTTCGCTACGATAAAGAATGCGTAAGGAATATGGACCAGGCAAGGGGTATTTATAGCCTCCAATATTCGGGCTTGGACCGGAATCCGGGCCCTCAGTCCCCGGAATCATCATTACAAATCGTCGGTTTGGCCAACCAGTGACACCCGCCCGCAGTCAGCCAGTGGGTGCACGCCACGTGGACATCACCTCCAACTGCTATATTCCAACGATCCACATTCCAACGGTCATATCTCAAACGGCTCTATTTCGCAGGCTAAGATGCCCCCATCTAGCAACCCTCAGACAATACTATGGATGCCCTTGGGCTAACTCCTACAGAGCCCTTCATCAAGGGGAGCCCCCGGGTTAACAATAGAAAAACCCCTCAATATGTTGAGAACTAGGGAATCCCCCCGGGGCAACACCTTCAAACCCCCTCATCAGTGGTTAGCCTCCGACTAAAACACCAGGGCACCCCTCAGCCACCGGAACAATCATCGGCATTCATCAACAACGATCAAGCCCTCAGCCTCATCGACTGGGGGACTACCCTCAGCACTCCCCGGGATGCTCGCTCATGCTTATCAACTACGGATGCCTTCGGAGGAATGCTCCCAGAACACCCTCCGGGATATCAATAAAGCTCCTTCGGCAACTCCACAGACACGCCCTCAAATCAGGGGTAGCCTTCGGCAACAACTTTGTCCTTCATCTCAGACCAAGGTTTCACCTTTTCAATTCATCATTGGGGGAATTCGGTGCACTCTTTTTCCTTCATTAGGATTTTTTCCCACAGGGTTTTTCCTAACGAGGTTTTTAACGAGGCATCCCCCCAAAATGAAACGAAAAGCGTCACCCCTCGGCCCATATTGCAGACAGGCACTACTCTACTCCTTTTCACCACTTTACAAGTGCCTCAAGGAGTGGGGGACTGGAAGGCCCCTTCGGGAAAATCTCAAAAAAGCAAATTATCAAAAATCTCCCCAAAACAGCAACCCAATCCCTCAAATCCCAGAATGTGGGGGACTGAGGGACTGCCTTCGGCAAAACGTGCAAACAACAACTCCTCACAAACTCCACAACTTACAGAACAAAACGCCAGCATCAGAGGACAAACGCATTTTACTCCTTTTCCCTCAAGTACCTTTCGGCAAAAGGAGTGAGGGGCTCCTGATAGAGTATATGGCCCAGAAACCCCCGGTCCATAAACTCCCACTATTCTAATACAGGCCCAACAGGCCCAGGAAGCACAGCAGACCCAAGTCACTGCGCCCCAAGAGACAGGAGGCCCACGTTGCCGCCTTTGGTCCCCTGGTCGAAGGCCCCAAAATCTCACAGAACAAACTGTTTTAGGCTTACGAAGCAGCTGGGAGAAAACTGCGAAAACAGTAGCCCTCGGCACCTAGAGCCCTCGGCACCTAGAGGCCCCCGGGATGAAGAGCCTTCGGCTAATCATCTACGACAGAAGGCATCTCCTCAACAGAATCTGCCACCCACATGCGCTGGACCAACGTACCGAGTACAAACGTCACATCCAACCACCGCATTTAATGCGGCCACATGTGAGTGTCAGTGCCACCCCATTGAGGTGACCCCTCGACCACCAGAATGATGACACATGTCTCTATCTAGAATTTATTGCTGCTATAAATAGCACCCTTTTCCCCATTTGTAAACCACACTCAATATCAATATACACTCTCTCTCTACTTTTGCTCTGACTTCTCTCTAAGTTATTCTCGCAGTAACCCCTCGGATACATACCCCCTGGGTACCTTATTCATCACCATCAATATTACTTTTACTCCACATGAATGATATAATATCAATTATTGTATTATTAATTGGTAGTAAAAAAACCACCATCTAAATATAAATTGTTTCTATAAATATTCAAGAAATCACAAACATTCAACCATCTTTAATCCATTTTATTTTAGGCTCCATGGAATTCAATCTCATGCTCCATCAATATTACTTTTACTCCACATGAATGATATAATATCAATTGTTGTATATTATTAATTGGTAGTAAAAAAATCACCATCTAAATATAAATTGTTTCTATAAATATTCAAGAAATCACAAACATTCAACCGTCTTTAATCCATGTTATTTTAGGCTCCATATAATTGGTAACAAAATAAAGTAACATAAAAAATAATTAATATAAACTAATATTTGTACTATAAATCTTAACATGTACATAAAGATTAGTTTCTATGTTTTAAAAATTACAATCATGTCTATCTCGGTTACCATCTACTCCATATAATCTTTACAATCATGTCCATTTTTACCATCATAATACACCGTATTTACAGCTCTAATCTCATTATAGTATGGAAAATTGAAAATAAAAGTCTCAAATATTGTCAATCCATTCACAATAATCCAAATTTTTTTTTTCAAAAAATATTAATCCCTCCATATTTTAAAGTTTGCTACATTTTTCTCTTTGGGATGTATTTTAAAGTTTCAACACTTTTCCTTTTCGGTAAATTTTCCTTAAAAATATTCAATCACCCTTTCTTTTTCTACTTTTATATTTTAATCTTCTCTTTCATATTTTCACACCTTCTCTCCTATTTTTTGTACACTATTCGTTGCCCCTACTATTTTTCTTTTAAAATAATGTGCCAAAGCTAATGTAGAAATCTCTTAAACATGGAAGGAGTATTAAAATTAAACTTATTAACACAAGTATCTCTACTATTTATTTTTTCACGTTTATTTTTATATACGGTACTATATACCGTGCATCGCACGGATCAGATACTAGTATTGTACAATACGGAGTTCCGTATTTATGAGCATTGGAAAAATATGAATTTTGTAAATATCAAAATCTGGAAAAAATTGTAAAAATATTTACAACAAAACAAAACACATGTAATTTTTTTAAAAGCTATAAAAGGTTAAAATAGCAATTGTTTACTTCTTATAAACCTAAAATTTACGTAACAAAAAACTGAATGCATCACTTTTATTTTATTTTAAATCAAAGCTAGAAAACAAAATGTAAAACTTCGTAAAAATGCTGAACGTATGAAGAAAATTTTAAAAAGTAATAAATTTAAAAAAATACTGCGTTTGCAAAAAAAGTTTATAAACCTAAAAAATAGAATAAAAAGATATGAAAAAAAAATTAAAAAATCAAAAGTATTAAAATTGTTTAAAAATAATAAATCCAAAAAACTAAGGAGAAAGGTAGAAAACTTAATATCAACTGTGAGAATTTTAAAATAGTAGATAAATAAATAAAAAAAGCTGAAAAAAATTACAAATTATAATTTTGATTAATTTTTATGGAGGTACAAAATTTATTACTTATTGTCATTTTATTTTTACTATTATTTTTGTTGCATGTTGTTGCTATGTGTTTCTTTTTGTTTATTTTTGTTTCAAATTTTGCACAATTTGTTTGTTATTGTTTATTCATGTTTCTTGTGGCAGTTTATTTTCAAATTTTATACTCCATATGTTTTTACATAGACATCCACTATTGATAAAGGGATTTAACAAAATTGAGCTAATTAAGATCGAATACATGAAAACCATTAGTCAATAAGTTGAAATTTCCATGTGATTGCTACAAAGTTTAAGTAAATTAAATCTTGTAGGCTTGCAGCAGAACTATAGCATATTCATTAGCAAATGTCCTTTGCAAGTAGCAAAAATCATAACAAACCAAACTTCAAAAACTTGAAGCAATAAATATTCATTTCAATCAAATAAAGATTTTGAAAATCAATAGCAAATACTTCGTTTCACTAATAAACATCTAACCGATTAGCCCAAATGCAAGAATGTTAGTTTACTTACATATAGTTTAACCCCATCTGACCTTGTACTTCACTCTACTTTAGTACTTTTGAATTTTTGAAAGAGTTTCTTCTGCAAATCATCAAGGCTCCATCATCAGTGCCTCACTGGAACCGATTTGCTTGATGTAAAACAGTTTTCAATTTTTTGGCACCAACTTTCCAGTACAAGGTCCAGCATCAATTGATGTTTTTTGTTTCAATGCTTTTTGTTGATGACTTTTCAATTTTTGATGTTTAATATTGTTGTTTTTTAATGGGGAAAATAATTAAAATACCCTAAACTTTGAAGGGATGTGAGGTAAGCACCTCAAACTTGCATATGTAATTTAAATACCCCAAACTTTATATAAATAGTTATTTTAGCACCCTAGTCATGTACTTGTATTATTTTTTTCTTAAATGTCAATTTTTATGTTAATTTCATAACTTATAATATTTTAGCATTCATAAAGATACAATTAACATTTCTAAACTTTTATTGTAAAATAAATAGTATTACACTCTATATAATTGCAAAGTTTTCAATTTAATTTATATTTTGAATTATGCAATTAACATCATAAATTTACATTTTTGTAAAAGAAATGATACATTACCATGGTGTTAAAATAACATTTTACATAAAGTTAGGAATATTTAAATTACATACGCAAATTTGAGGTGCTTATCTCACACCCCTACATAGTTTGGGGTATTTTAATTATTTTTCCTTTTTTTAATTTATGTTTCCATTTGGTAATATGCATAAGAAGAAGAAGAAATGAGAACAGATCTGGAATTACAGATCTCTAAGAACCAAGCTAGAATGGCAGCCCAGGTGCGGACCAACCCAAAAGACACCGGCGAACAATCCGAGTATGAACTATGCCGCCCCTTGCAGCTCGTTACACTTGGCCGATCACCAAACCCCAGCTCTCTCATTTGTCGCGATCTCACTGCTAGCGCCTCAAAGAGTTGGTCGCCCATTGGCATTGCTGACCTAAAGAACATCTGGAAAAAAACATCTGGAGATGGTTGAAAATCAGCATCTGAGCACGTACCTCCCCCATCGATTAGAATTACTTTTCAATTTCAGCTTTAAGGGTAGCTGATGAGTGTGAGCCCACTTAGATCCAGATTTCTGTGATTGGGAGAAGATAACTCGTCTGGCCGCAGAAAGACGTGCAGCCGTGCAGGCCGGCCGTCAACGTCCCTGGAGTTCGGCAGAGTGGCTGCAGACTGGGCCGGAGTCCTTGGGAAGGCAGGTCGCGAGCGTTTTTCACTAGTTTTGAAGTCCGGCGTGCATCTCTGATGGAAACCCTCCCGTCGCGAGATGGCTAGATCCCGATTGGTCCCAGGTATCTCCTTTGAATTCCCAGCCTTCTCTGTCGGTTGCACGATCCAACAATGGCCTCCGTTGAACTCCCCATCTTTACAGATCGCAATGGTAGCAAGAGTGAAGATGCGCGATGAGGGTGCCGAACTGTATAGTTTGTCCATCTTCTAGCTTGCTTGAAATCTGCTTTCATCTCTCTGGTATACGAATAAGACACAATTGAAAACCAGAAAGGTTAAAAATGAAAAGGAAAACTAACCGGGACATAAATGATATGTGGTCCACGAAAGTGCACCATACGGGTAAATCCCACTATTTAAAATAATTTAGCACCACCAAAGTGGATCATACGGGTAAATCCAGATGTCGGAGCTTACACTCCCATAATCTTGGAGTCTATGAACTACCCTCCAAAACTTCTAAACAATTAATCCGGATCTGATCACAGTCAGCCTCGTCAGTACTGGCTCCAAATGACGAATCCAGTAGGACTTACATCATCTTTCAGGCTGCTCCTCTTACCACACAAACCCGCTACCTTCATTACCATCCTCTCCCTTCTCAGCCGCTGAGCAACTCCGTGAAGGTAGGAAGAATCATTGGGAGCAAGACCTTCCTCCTCTATTCTAAATGTGCCTAGCGAAATTCGAACCCGAGACCTCCGTTAGGACACAGTAACCTTCCACCCAGTGAGTTGAAATGGTTGCTTTAGCACCAATATCGGATAATCAGACTATCGGTGACTCGGTGGATCTATAACATTACACGCAGGCTCGAAATAGCACATCCAGTGCCCATTAATTGTCCTAAGTAGGACTAAAACATAATGTAAATTCACTAATAGGACCTTAATTTTTTTATTCTTTAAATAGGACTATATTAGTCCTGTGTAAAAACATAATAAAATTTCATACCCTTAATACCCTTCTTTTAATTAATTCCTTAATTTCCATCCTATTCTCTCTCCTTGCACGATCATTTAGGTTTCTCCCTGTGCGTAGGAATAGATCCACTTCTCCGGTTCTCCCCTACAACTTCTCTTCGTGCATCGCAGCCACCGCCCTCTCTCCCGCCTCAAGCCGCTGTCGACACTACAGACTTCGCCACGCGCCGTCATAGGTTTCCTCTCTTCGTCGTCTTCTTCTTCCTCTCTTCTTCTTCTTCTTCTTCTCCTTCTCTTCTTCTTCTTCCTCTTCTCCGATCTCCTCCTCCTTCCCATCCTTCTTCTCCTATTCCTCTATTTAAATGAGATTTGCCGCTGATTTTTCTAGTTTTCCTCACATTGTTACGTTTTCCTGGGTTTTGACACTGATTTTACGAATTTTAGGTTTTTTTTTGTATTTTCTGACTTTTTGTTTCAGATTTCTTAGTTTTTTTAAAAATTCTAATTATCCAAAAGTCTGGATGATGGCTTCAGATTTTGCCAAGTTTATGGCAGGAATGTGTACACCAACACCCATATAATGGCAAAAACGCTTTTGTGTAAATCGATTTTGCTAAATTTTTGTCATTCGCCTCGTATATTTAATTTTCGATTATGTTATGGTGCTTATTTCTTTTTTTTTTTTGAATTTTTGGTTATTGACTTCATTTTTTGCCAAATTTATGACAGTTTCGTGTAAAACTCCAAGATAAATCTGCCAACTTTATGGCAAATATGAAAAACCTTATTGATGGCAGATTTCAAATACTCTTGAAAGTTAAATCTTCCGACGTAATGGCAGATGTATGGCGTCAAAGCTGTGATGACGGCGGCGGTGCTCGAAGGTGGGGTGGTGGTGCACCAGAGATGGCGGAGGATGGTGACAACGACAAATTGCAACGCTGGTTGGGCTACACCACTCGGCGGCGATGGATGGTGGCACTAGGGAGAGGTTAAATCGGTGGTTGAACATTGCACGATGTTTGCCTTTTTTTCCGGAAACTGCCGTCTAAACTAATTAATTAAAAACTAATTAATTATGCTTCAAGGATAAAATTGGTAAAGCAGACCCTTTTAAGTCCTAGGAAACATCACTCACGTTTCTAGTCCTATTTGTCCACATGAAACTAATTTCAGTCCTATATGGGTCATTAACTCGAATGATTATTACAAGCATATATGATTTGCCACGATGACTATTAGCATTTCCGTATTATTCTCTAATTGTCAATTTGGAAAGGTCGAATTCCTGTTATTCCGGAGTAATAATTCTAATCCCACCGCTGATTTCCATCCTAAAACCGCAACGCGCCTCCACCTCCAACTCCCACGCTCCTCTTCTCCTACTACAGTTTCTCCTCCGTCTCGCTCCGCCGCATTTCTGTGCTCCTCTTCTCTCGCCTCTGGTAACTGTTTCAATCTCTCCCGCCTCTGCTTTGCAACTCGAGTGATTGATTTGATCAATACGTATGCTTGTGATTTATCTGTGCGCGTATAAACTTTTTGTGATTTAGTTGAATTTTATGTTTCGTTTTAATGGTTGATTTTGCTGATTCGGTTAGAACTTTTATTTCTGCTTTTATGTTATCGAGCGTTCATTTATTTATGATTTAGTAGCTTTACCTTTCAAAAAGTTGATAGGAAATACGGAGTAACACTTAATTACTTCCTTCTTCACGGATGGATCTTGTTTTACATCTGGACTTGATATGAGAGATGAACAGTGATGAAAATTGTAGAAATAAAATTATGCTGACTAAGTGACATGTAAAAAAAGTTCATACAGCAGGAAGCTTTATCATGATGTTCCTTTGAATATAATGAAGAAAGACTTCATTGCTGGATTTTCGATCTGAATAGCATTTTAAGCATTTCTTTATAGCTTTAGTGGAAGGACTGATTCGCATGCTTCTGGCTTCATGCAAGTCTTTTCTGCTTCTTAACTGATTATATGGCTTGTCTTTTGCTTTCCAGTTGTAGGTATGGATGCATCTGGAAGTCAGGGTGTCTATCCTTTCCACAGGTGTAAAACAATACACCTGGTTTGTCTTCTTTCCTATATCTTTTTGTCTTACAAATGCTCTATACGCCTACTTAAATAATGAATCAATGATTAGTTTTGGCCATGTGCTTTCTCTTCTACTATCGTTTCGATTACATGTTCATTCACATTCTCTCAGGTGAGACATGCTCAGGGATTTCACAATGTAGAAGGAGAAAAGGACCATAGTGCATACCTCTCTCCACACCTCTTTGATGCAAGCCTTACCCCTCTTGGCTGGCAGCAGGTAACTGTGCATTATATATTCATATGCAACAATTTGCTAATTTAGTTGATATAATTTATGTTTAAAACTCTTAACTAATATGTTTTTCATTCCTCTCACATCTTTTGTTTATGAATGTTTAATTAATTAGAGAATGTCTTATGGCCTCAGACTCTTAGTTGAACAGATTTAATACCAGCTTTATTTATCAAGGTTTTATTATGATTTACAAGTATATGAAAAAATGTGACATTCTAGTACCGTTACAGGCGGATAATCTACGCAAACATGTTCATTCATCTGGTCTTTTTAACAAGGTTGAGTTGGTTGTCGTTTCTCCTTTATTGAGGTATCAATTTGTACTTCTAATAAGTTATGAAGCTCTTGCAACAAACAAGTATTATTTGAATGACTTCAGCTCTGTGTGTTTTCTCCTTCTTAAATTGTTTCCGACCATGACAAACCAATTCCTGACCTTAACTGAAGGAAAATATATCTTTATGGATTGTGAATATATTTGTGCTTTTGTGATACAAATATAAACATTCTCCTCTGAACTTTACTATTTAAGGATTACAAAGGGAAATATAGGGATCCATAGAGAACTTAGAGTGCTAGATTTGACCAATAGAATATAACCTTGACACTTGAACCATCATTGAACCTGAATTACCTGATATTACATTTATAAGGACTATGCAAACAGCAGTTGGTGTCTTCGGGGGAGAAGACCATGCAGATGGAATGCATGATCTTCCACTAATGGCGGCGAATGCTGGAAACAGCAGCAGGTCTGCAATTTCAAGTTTAAATTGCCCTCGTTTCCTGGCAATGGAGTTGTGTCGGGAACACATAGTAAGTTCTAAGCTGTGTATGTAAAATGTATCGTTGGATTAACCTCAATCTGTCTTTATGCTCCTTTTGTTCTCATGCATTTGTCCTCTTTTGTATTTCATTGTCTGGTAATCTGGTTCTATTCTGGACAACTCAAGACCTTATATTCTTGATCTTCTGCATTTTCTGTTATTCCTGAGTGTGTAAACTTTTTCTCGATATCTGATATGTAGTAAGGGAACGTGTTGCATATATCTTTCTTTCTTTTATAACTGTCTCAAGGAGGCCCATGTTGTATTGCATCTCATTATCATATAGATAGTACATATTATTAAGTGCTTAGCTTCATACTGTTGGGTAATGTTAAATTTCTTATTTCAAAATTCAAATGCATATCTCATTATGCTCACATAATGACAGGGGGTTCATTGGTGTGATAAAAGAAGAAGCATCAGCGAATATAAGCCTTCATTTCCAGCAATTGATTTTTCATTGGTAAGTACATTTGCATATCATTGATATTCTCACTGAATCTTCCCAAGGGCTAATGATAATCCATCAAAATAATATGAAGTGAGAGTTTTAGTTATGTTGGGTTCATTTTCGTTTATAGCAATGTGTGTTTTTTAATAGATTGAACATGATGATGACACGCTGTGGAAGGAAGACATTAGAGAGGCAAATGAAGAAGTTGCTAGAAGGGGAATGAACTTTTTAAAGTGGTAATGTTCTATGTTCTTGCATTTTCACCTATCAGAGTTAGGATTAGGAATAAAATGTGCATAGTTAAAGGAATCTTACAATATTTATTAAATTTTCCCAACTAAATTTGAAAAGTTCTATACTTCTATATAACTCCAACAATATATGCTACTCTTGTATTGTGGGTTGCTTATACTAGACTGCTGTTTCTTACATTCATCTGGAACGGCTTCATTATATCTCTCCTCCATTCTAGATTTTATACTTTTGTTGATTGTATGGGAAATTAGGTGGTACTGTGGTAGCATAAATAAAAAACAGCATAGAGACTGGCAAGTTATTTATCCATGAGCTAGGATAGAATTTCAGATTGGGTCGTGGTCGCTCAATTGGCCTATAAAAAGTACACACTAAAAGATTGAATTGAATTGAATTGACTAGCTAATCTATTCAAGGTATTATAACACCGTCTTTCTTTAAAATTCCGATGGAGGGCTTTAACATCTTTATTGTGATATTTTCTTGCATTCCATTAATAATTCATGAATGCAACAGGCTTTCGACCAGGAAGGAGAAGGAAATTGCAGTAGTTACTCACAGCGGATTTTTGATTCATAGTCTGAGTGAATTTGGAAAGGACTGTCATCAAAATGTGAAGAATGAGATTTGCAGACCGTATGTTCCTTCACTATGAATTGGCTTAGAGGAATGTTGACCTATAAATTGATATATTCATTTGTTAATTGGCCCAATAAAAATAAAAGGCATTCTAATTGATCAAAAATAAATAATAGTTTCAATTTGTTTACTGCTGTTATATCCACCATTTCTTAACATTTTTCCTATTTAAGTATTTTTTGTGAATCACGGTTGCAATTCTTTTTTTTGTTCACTGCTGTTATATCCACTCTGATGGTTGTGGCATTTCTGTTTTTGCAGGTTTAAGAATTGTGAACTACGGTCAATGGTTATTGTTGATTGATGGTAAAGATTTTTTTTCATCTACTTCAGCAATATATACTTCTCTTGCATTTCTCTTGATATATATCCACTCTGATAGTATTTCTCTTGCATCAGTTGCATGCCAGCTACATAAATTTTGTTTCTCAAAAGTCTTTTTTTCAGGTTTTCTTTGATACATAAACTTTTTTAAAAGCACAGATGCTCTTGCTTGTTGCCTTGCTTACTATTGCTTTTTCAAAGCCCGTTTGGTAAGATTGAAATTTTTGGTAACACTGAAATTGACTGAGGAATTTCTGCCTGAAATGGCTGGATTGGCCGATTCTATTAAATTATGAAAAAATTATGTATAAAATATATTTTATTATATTCAAAAATCATCACTTTATATATGAACGAAAATAAGTGTGAACTTAATTATACAAAGTAGTATTTTAGAAAATCATAATTAGGTATGGATTTTATTAGTATGTGCTCTTAAATACTATTGATATTGATAAGATGTTTTGAAGGCTTAATATATTACTAAATCAGTTGTTTTTCTATTTCTTTAGGTTAAACACCACTCTAGACATTCTAAAACATTTTTTCCTGGAAAATCTTTTTTGCGATAACTTATTTACACTAGTAGTTATACCGTGGAACCGGTGCATGATGAGCATCATGCACCCTTGTTATTTTTTATACCTCCTTTTCTTAAAATTGTTAATAATTTTTTTATTTTTGATCTGATTTTTATAAAATTTATATCAATTTTTTTATTTTTCATGATCTTTCAAATGAGACCAATATTGTCTATGTAATTTTAACATATTAACATTTGCGTGTAAAAATATGTAATTTAATTTTTGTCTCAATATTTTATGTGATGTAAATCCCATGTATTGAAATGTAACTCATTTTGTTATAAAATGTAATCTCAGTTAACTACAAATGTAACTCGCTGCCTGGAATGTAACTCATATTACACCCTCTAGTGGTTCTCTCACCTTTTATACGAAATGTAAACCGCGTGTTACAAGATGTAACTTTTATTAAATTGATATGTAACTCGAGTGTATCCAAAATGTAACTTGAGAAATTTCGAAATTGTAAGGTGCGTTAATTAAAAAGTAATTCAGAGAAATCGAAAATGTAAATCATGTTAATCAAAATGTTACTTGATGTTGATACAAATGTAACTCGCGTGTAGAAATTTGTAACTTACATGTAAAAATATGTATCTTCACATATAAAAATATGTAACTCACATGTAACTCAATGATTTTTTATATACACAATTTTAAGATAAATTGTTATTTTGCCCAATTATTTTTTTGTATTAAATTTAGTTCGGTTTTCCTTATAATCCCATAATCATTTATATAATAGTTCCATAATTTGTTAAAATTACATAAGCAATATTGGTCTCATTTGAAAGATCGTGAAAAATAAAAAATGTTAGATATAAATTTTATAAAAATCAGATCAAAAATAAAAAGTTATTACCATTTTTTAACAACAAAAGCAAAAAAAAACCAGACCATGCTCCGTCATTTTGCATCGATGCGTCTTCTCTCTTTCAGCCGATCAATTAATAAAGTGAACGACGACGTTTTGGGATCGGACACACCATATATCTGGGATCAGCCTATCCCAGATATAATTTGCCTATTTACACCCTTTTTGCATTTGTAGTATGATTGGATCAGACATTCCAACGACCGACTACCCTTGTAAAATTCCCAGTGGAGCAGATGTCCCAAGCGATGATGCAGCTCTGGGCCCCTGAAGCATTCCGATGGCCTGTCTTAATAAATAATTTGAAGAGCATCAAATTAAACAGGAGAAGTCATTGTTATTGCTCCATATTGTTTATTTACCTACCGCTATGAATATATATTATTATACATGGAATACCTATTACTTTTGTTAATCTTGGAGTAATAAATTCCGGTACCGGAAAAGAAGAAAATCAACATATGTATGTGCTATTCATTTAGAGATATTACTCTAAATAGGATTAAAAACGTTCCTATATTCCAAAATAGGACTCATATTTTTATTCTCAAAATATGATTAATTACTGCTATGTTTTGACAGTACCACACATTAAACATGGCAGTATTTTTCAAACTTGGCAGTAATTACTTCTATTTTGGAAATAAAAACATGGCAATCCTATTTTGGAATTTCAAACTTTTTTACTCCTATTTCGGGAATTTTACCATTCATTTATGAGTAGCAACTGTTGTGCTCCGCGGTATTTACTAGTGTGTATTTATTAATTCAAAATTTCAAAATATGACCATTTTATATGTTTTGCTTATAAAAATTAAACATATTAATTGTTAAAACCATAAAAGTGAAAGTTATATTGTTACAAGAGTTGCAACTAAACAATAACGTTACATATAGTCAAATATATCACATATGTGTACTACTACGTATATTTACCATTTTCCCGTAATGTTGTAATGTTGTGAGTTATGGCTTGTGAGTTTGGAACAATTTTCCTGTAAAGTTGTGAGTTGTGGGTTGTGAGTTCGAAAAAATGGGATAGATTTGTTATTTATAGAAGTGAGTTTAGTAACTAGGATCTCCAAAAACAGTGGAATTGTGAACTTGAATTTGTTTGAGCTGCAACTTGCAACATGTTGGATACACGGGTGGATCTAGAATTTGTGTCGAAGGGGGTGAATTTTTTCCATTAGTATAAGACACTACCTATTCTTTGTTTAAAAACACACTTTCATTAACATATACACAACATATAGATATACTATATTCTAAAGTTATATACAACATTGGAGTTCTCCAAAAAAAAGTTTTGATAAATTAAAGTCTAAGAAAATTATTTAACTATAATAAAATGTTTAAAACATTATCAATTTATTTGAAGATAAAAGATCTAAGCTCACATTCACTATATTTTTTAAATGACTTTTGCATTGTTTCACTATGAATCTTATTAGAATAAAAAACCTAATTTTTGAGTTTACAATTTTTTATTTATCATGGGAGTTTATGGGTATGTTTGGCACAACTAGCTGAAAAGATACTTTTGTGAACTTTTTAATAACTGTTAGCTTTTAGTAACTGAAAAAGATCTTAAAGAGAAAAGGTTGTAGCTGTTTGGTAAAAAGCTGACTGTTTGGTTTAGTTCAGTTTGACATACAAGCTGTTAGACTAATTAATACTAAAAGTCATGGGTTTTTTCGGGGTGCTACTCCCTGTAGCATCTCAAAAACGATTTTTAATTTTTGAAAAGCTCTTAAAAATTGTCATGCCAAACATATAACTAGAAGCTTTTAAAGACTTTTTGAACAGTACAAAAGCTAGAAGCTAGAGACTTATCCCTGCCAAACATAACCTATAAGCCATGAATAGTCTTTTATCATAATAGTATGTTAAAAAGTATTGAATTTAAGAATAATATTACGTTGTTAATTCATTGGAAGGCCCAAGATCTTGATGTGTCCTTTATTCTTTGAAGGCCTTTTCTGGGCACTGCTCGGGCCCTCATAGATGTTGGGGAAGAGAAATTGATTTTGAGAGTTGGTGAGGAAAGAGTAACTTTTTGCATGGCCAAACTAGCAAAACAGTCATGTCAAGTCATTAATGAGTGTTATTTTTTAGATGTCTTGGAGCCACCAAGAGAGGAGGGAGGGAAACCTCCACCTCTTAAAGGGACTAATTTTGACCCCTTTTAGACAGAGGGCCTGATAAAGGTCTTGACCCACTCTTATGCTTTAGATGTGACCCTGAGATGAGCAACTGCTTTCATGAATTTAAGGTCTTACGTCATCTCAGGGCGTTTGTTGACAGGAGGTTTGATATGAGGAGGACTGGTTTTATGAGTGAGAGCATCTTTATTTGAGTTCTAAGTGGGGTAGTTGCGTCGGGCACACGACGTTAAAAATAGCGCTTCTTGGGAGGTAATCCAAGTTTATTTCTGCACTTTCATTTTAGCTTGTTTCTTTGTCTTTGTGTGTTTTTGTGCTTTGTTTTTGCAGCTTAGAGTGTGCTTTTCGGGATGATGTGCCACAGTTTACATTGACTAAGTGTATTTCTGCACCAACCAACGCCACTAGGGAAGTTTTCTTGACTATTCTTTACGCCTGTTTAATATGTTGACTTGAGTTCAGATGAGCACGCGTGACCCTTTCCTCTTTACCCCCTTGTGCATAATGCATTTTTGGTCATCGAGAGCGATGTCAAAGTTTAAGCGTGGAGGAGTCAATTAGGCATTCAGACAGTAGTTGTTACATGAGATTACTAGAGTTAGCATGCACATGTGTTAGTTGTATATTCATAGGAAAGTCATGTCACTCATTCACCATTATAATATTTTAAGATAACTCATTTTTTCTTCTCATTCTCTTTAGACCTTGAAATAACTCTTTTAACACAAAAATATGACCTTTCTAACCAAACAATTTGATGCAATAGACCTGCACACATTAGGTTGTGCAATCACTTCATACACACGCTTTTACTATGACCACAACACATGCTCATAATCTTCTTTGATTGTCATTGAGATGTGAGGTTTGGGGCTGAGAAGATATTAGTACAAAATGAAATTGGGAAAAAAGAAGAGTTATCATTTTAAGTTATTGATGGAATTCCGTTTATGGTTCCTCCTAACATCCTATAAGGCCCTTGTCCTTACGTCCCTAGGTATTGTGCTTCGGTTTTTTATGATTAGAATTGTTTTATGGTCTTTCATTCTGCATACATACACAACATCTTCAATTCTATCAGTCACTTCAAGTGAGTCATGCTCAGAGGATAAGTCCAAGGAATCAGGAAGACTTTCAAGAGAAAAGTTATCATCATTGATATAGTGATAAATAATTGTAGAGTGAATTAGGATTCAATGAAAAAAAGAATATGCATATATATGTCAATGCATATTCTTTCATTCCAGTATCCAAGTACTCCTTTCTTTGAAATCTGTAAAATGAAAAAATGCAAAGAAAATTTCAAAAGAGGAGGGTTTTGAAAGACATATAATTAAAATGATACATGTACCCCTTTCTCATTGTATAAACGCTATAGTACATTGGTTGTTATATTTGTTTATTGTTTAAATTACTAGTTGCTTTGATTTTTTTTCTTGAAAAATTGCTTCAATATTTACATATACAAATATCATGAAGACCATGTTTGGTAATACCAAATTCGAAATAAAAAATTTATGAAAATAAAAAAAATGGTTTATTAATATATAATTCATCACACAAAATAAAAAATTACGTACTTAATGAAAAAATGACTAGTAAGCTAATAAGTAAAAAAACATAGTCAGAAAATGAACTCATATTTTTTGTTAAAACATCACAATGTTTGTTTAAATAATAACAATATTTAAATTAATATTTCAATTTCACTTCAGCAAACAAAAAAATAATTTATTCAAAAAAATTGTTTAATATTTAAAATAATTGAAGTACAAAATATCTAAAAACTTACTATATACCCATACTTTTGACAATAAATTAAAACGAAATGAAACATAAAAATATAAAAGAAGATAATTAACTTCAACAATTATAGGACAATATTATCTAAGCGTATTATGTTTCACATTTTATTTCAAGTACTACCACTTATATTAATCTAGCGCATTCCAATCAATACCATAAACAAGTCAATGCACTCCGAATAAGCTTGACTTTCACACACACTTGCCTTCACTGATATGGCCTGCAACCAAAAAGAAAAATTTGTTAATATAATATCCGAAACTTGCAAGTAATAATTAAATAAACAAAATACATTTGTCATCACTTTTACTATTATTGATAACATAATTGTCGAAAAAACATCAATATCAATTAATAGTATACTAAAAAATAAACTAAAGTACTTAAAACATATTAAGATAACTTGGTAGTAGATGACGGTGGACCAAACACCATTTCAATAAGCAACTCTGTAACATCCTCAATTCTATACACTTTAAAATTATAATATGAAGTAAATAAATGAAAATTATAAAATGAAAATTATGTCTAAAGATTTTGATAAATAGACAACACGAATTAAAGAAAATAATTATGAAGTCAATTAATATTAAATCTACAAATTAAATTAATTTAGAAGAGTCGACATTTTTTTTTATAAAACTGAGGTTTTATATTGGAATAATAATAACAATAGTGGAGCCTATGTACACTTATCATAGGCCATGCATAATGGACAAATTACCATGCATAAGAAACAACAAAGGAAGACTTGAGTCTAAGTTTCCATAGACACATGGCAAAAAGCTAAGTTTATAAAATAATTTAATAAGATATATAAAAATAATTAAGATCAAATGCATGAGTGACATGCATTGACACATAGCAGCTCATGAAACAAACAAACAAAGATTCATGCAAATATATATAGACATTACGGCCACTCATTTATAAAAGTTCAGCCACAAATAAATAAAAGTAAAATTACTTACATTTTACTTATTAGAATACTAAAATAATGATAAATACAGAGGGGGCATCGGCTGTGAGAAGAAGTGAAGGGAAAAGAGAGAGGGAGAATGAAAAGAATTTTAGGAAAAATCTTGCATTTTTGAAGGTTTGTATTCATTCCCTTCTCCTAAGATTTTATGCTATACCACAATGTGATATTCTAATTAAACTCTATTGTTATGCATGCTTTACTACTTTACATGTTTTCATAAATGAGAAAAAAATATGTAATAGTACTGTTATGCTTTATTATATGATTTCAATATACCTTTATGTTTCATATACATGTAGATATACGTACCATCCCATCACTTCAAAGGAGTTATATTTATAATTAAGAAATGTTTTATTTTATTATTTCATATGTTAAGTGTGCATATACAACATTTAAACAGACCATTCGTATACACAGAAAAAATAAATATAGATGTATCAAATTCAAAATTATATGGTCGGCAGAATTATAAGGAAGGAGTCCAAATCACGCGAAATGT